CCGTCCCTACACCCCTGCCCGGCGCCTCAGGTCTGCGGACCAGACATTATTAGAAGTACCAAGAACTAAACTGAGTCTCAGAGGGGATCGAGCCTTTTCTGTTGCTGGTCCCTCTCTCTGGAATGACCTCCCACTGAACATTCGGCAAGCCTCCTCACTGCCCACCTTCAAAACCCGCCTCAAAACTCACTTGTATTCTTTGGCATTTGACTCAACATGACTTAGTTTTGTTCTTGGTTTTGCTGTTCGGTGCTTTCTACCATCTTTATTACCGATTTGCTTTACTGTTTGTTGTATATGTTGAATTGCTCCATGTACAGCACTTTGTATGCAGCGATGACTGTTTGAAAGTGCTCTATAAATACAGTTGAGTTGAGTTAACCTAACCCAGTGGTTCTTAACCTTTTTAGAGGTACTGAACCCAACCAGTTAATATGCACATTCACCACACCCTTCACGCGTGAAAAATAAATAGATATTTTTTACAAATTCAAGATATAAAAAAAACACATTTATTAAAAACAGACAAAAAATAAATAAAATTTCAAGAGATAAGTATACTTTTTTTTTTTTTTTTTTATTGTACGACGCACTATCACGACATTCACACGTTGACTACTTAAGCGAACTAAATTTCCCACAGCACTGATTGGACATGTTGAGTCGCGTGTGTCTTACCCTCCATGGCAGAGGCTCTGTCGAACCCCTGGGGTTCAATCGAACCAAGGTTAAAAACCACTGACCTAACCTCTGTCAGTCACAATTCACGAAACTGAGATAATAATCTCTGAATGGTGGATGAAAACAGTGAAGTCTTTTAGAGGCTTTCATTCGTCCATACAGAAATCCTAGGATAAAACACGCACTTTCTCAGCGAAAAAGTAATAGAAGCTTTCGACAACGGTGGTAAGATGGCTGCCCTAAGGCTTCAGCTGCAAGAGCCTTTTATTGTCCATTCATGTATAAGTCATGAACAGGTGTAAGTGTGTTTCGTAGCTCGTTCCACGGTAATATGCTTCAGTTAGGCACACAGACAGACTGACATGAGACAGACTCTCTTCCTTGATTGTTAAGGGGTGGCTGAGCTTCCCGCCTCCCAAGTCCAGCACAGAGTGAACAGAGAAAAAAAAAAAAAAACAACAATAGAGTGAGCAGTGCTGCAGGCAAAACAAGCACTCACTCTGACGATTTTTCAAAAATATTCGGAACTATTTCAATGTGTAACGGGCGTCAAAAATTAGCATTCACTCAGTTATTTTGTATCATTCGGCAGCTCTGCATTTTGCCAAATAAACATAGTTTGGTGTTTACATTGGGTTTTTTTAGGGGGCAAAAGACACGTTTTATGTGGCAAACCGTGATGCGAAAGCACTTAGTCTCATGTTCAGGTTCACAGGTTTCAGTTGGAATCAATCCCAGGTGATTCGGAGTCAGAGAGCACTCGTGACTGGGAGAACTTGGGCACAAACTGACATCCGTTCATATTTTCACAATGAAAAAAAAAATCCATATACTGTCCTTCAATTAACATAATATGCATATATATTGGAATGCAGCTGGAGAAACCCATTGCAAGCATGGGAAAAAGATGCAAATCCAGTCAGAAAGATCCACTATGCCTAACTGGCAATCATATTCTGGTTAAAAATGTGATCAATTATTTTTTGTGTGTTTTTGTGTAGTGTAGATGAAATAATAGGTTCCCATAATTTTCTTTGTACAAAAGAAGCATATGAGCAAGGTTTTGGTATCTTCTCTTATCCTTTTTACATTTTATGTAGTGTCTGCACAAGGTGTGGTGGTTTTCGCTTGATCATAACCAGTCACATCAGGAAAATCAGTTGCTGCCCCTGTGAGGACATGGTGCATGACGATGTGCAAGAGGCCCCGTGTGAGCAAGATCAAGTGGAATCATGTTAAGCAACAGGAGAGCTTTTGTTTTTCCGTGAAGTGCTGGGGCTGAGGTAGCACATGGGTCATGTGAATTGTCAGTGTTCATCATCACAGCCATCTTGGACATCCTTGTTCCATGACAATAACAAGGCAATATTCCGTGACAGAGTTCAGACGGGACAGCTCCATAGTGTTCCCCTCATCAAGTTTGAATTCTTTCCTCATAGTAACCAATGGATGATTTTATTAATTGTGTGTAAAAAGACCGAGCTCTTTAAATAGATATCGAATAAATGAAGAGCACATGCATCAAACCTCCCCACCCTGCTTCATTCAGCTCTTGGGTTATTCCAATGCCTCCCTCTGGAGTTACTTGAAATGGAAATGAATTTGGGGATTTTCAAATATGCTGCCAAGAAATCACGCAGCTGTGCTCCTCGCAGGGCAGTTTGGAATCGAGATCAAACTGAGCACACGGACGATGTCACAGAGCTAAATGCAGCTCATGTGAACTTAGTTATTTGGAAATCAGAAGAGCTGAGTCATAGGTCATCATCTCCTCCATAGGAGGTGGGCAAGGCTGTCTGGTTGTCACTCGGAATTTACTGGTCCATCACAGATTAATTTGTCAGGTTCACAACAAACTTTTTTTTGTCACAGAATTTTTATTCATAGAACAGGTTCATGACATATTTATTAATAAAGACATTACCTTGCAAAATTGTCTTGCAATTAGTTATGAGTTAACCTGTTACTGTAGCTGCTGATGAAATATGACCAAAAGAACACCATACAATGCTGTGAGAATGAGCCCGATAGCCTTTTAAGGTCCAATGTGTAGAGTTCAAGACGAGTCCTTGTTGAATATGATGTGTTTCATAGACACAACCCGTCATCCATAGTCATTCATATTTCATCTAAATGTAATTTGAACTCTGAAGAAGCAACAGGTGAAATGGACCGGGACAAAGTATAAGATGTTCGATGTTCAATTATTATGTAAATCCATACAGCAGATGAAGACAAAAACGGACAGTGAAAAACTGAGAAAGCTTATTTTTTTTCCTGATCCTGCAGGTCATGTGGAGAGGGGCACCTATTATGCTGTTAGAAATTACTACTGTCCTTCCTGCACACTGGTCACTTCAGGCCCATTTGGTGCGTTACAATGCCAAAAGGTAAACATTCCTGGTTGATGGCATTTAATGTTTACCAAGACAGTCAACTTGAGTCTGTATGATGCAATGATATTATGCTATCATCAATGCTGTAAAACTTCTGTACCAAGTGTTTCATGGAAATGAGAAAAAGAGTTCATAGTAATAGTAATCATATGAATTCAGGTACGAAAAAAAACAAACAAAAACACAATAACAAATTCTTACTCTTAGAAACTTTTCTACATGGTCAATTTTGTTTATGTTAATATGACACATGCCTAAAAGCACATCTAATGTTAAAAGATAGAAAGCCTTGTTGGGCGGAATTGTAATAAATGCAACAGAGTTATGAACAATGTGCTTGTGGATCGGATCGACTTAAAGATAAAAGTCACTTGTTCAGTTGGGCAAACATTTCTCTGCTGTAGAATGAATCTGAAAGCAGAAATAATCTTATTGGTTGAGTTCTATGGCCAGGGAGAGAAACAAGCAGCTTGAAATGTTGGCAGTCCATTCAAAGGAAGATTAGGAATGCAGCTGCCATGTCACAACATTGCTACTCGAGGGGCTTGTTGGCCAGACAAACAGCAGACAGAATTTGAATTCCTCGAAATAGATTCACCTCATCCCTAAATTGACCTGAATAGACTGCACAGCACTGGGCTCATTCAGATGTTGGCTTTCACGTTTGAATAATACCATCAGATGTTTAAAAACATATTTCTAATGGAAAATTATTGATAACAACCGAAAAGTAATTTTACAAGATTTTTCCAAGTTCTAAAAGTGGTCCATTGAACGACATGTCTTTTCTCTTTTCTGTAAAATGACACGCAAGTGTTTAAGAACGGTTGATTGCAGTGCAGTTGCAGTTTTTCTGCTTATTCTTCATATCCAGCGCAAGTGAGTGAGAATTACTGAGATATGCCAAATTTTAAACCCTTGGGGACGCTGACTAGGAGTACTTCCTGGAACGACTCATCATGTGAATACAGTTTCTGTAACAAATGACAGTTTCAACTTCTGGCATGCATATTACAGAGATTTTAGCTGTTTTCTCAGGTCTTTGTGAATGTTTTCACAAGCATTATCATTACACGAAATGCCAACATAGCTATCATTTTTTTAAAACATACTTAGACTTGCATTATACAATTATCGTATTTTCCGCACTATAAGGTGCACCTAAAAGCATTCAATTTTCCCAAAAGCCGACAGTGGGTCCTACAATCCGATCCGCTTCATCTATGGTGTTACACAGTCTCTTTATGTTTTCCATTGAGTTGTTTCCCTGTTCCTATGCCATCTAGTGGCGATTATTAGCAGGAACCACTTGTAACCTAAAAGGGTTCTGCCCGACACTAATTGACATGCGCATTCGCCAACAACTGACTAAACGAAGGAAGAAGGAGACAAGCAAGACCTCTAAGGATTTTATCCCCTTGTAGATGTAAGCCCACGAGGTTTGTGTGCCTTTTTGTTGAATCAATTGTCTTCATAACTTTTGTCTTTCATTCATTGTTTTGTAATGCCATTTGTATTTTTATGTTTCATGTCTGCGTTTGTGATCAGCTCTCATGGCTTTACTACAGCTGCAGCACTTTGGAAGGCTCTATATAAATAAAGCTGCATTGTACTGTGTTGTATTCCCTTTAGCGTAGCTCCATCTAGTGGATGCTAGCGCAACCTCAGCCATTATTGAAGCTTCTATTCTAAGCGCCTTATAGTGCGCCCTATACATGAAAACACTGTTAAACTAGGCCATTCATTGAGGGTGCACCTTATAATCCGAAAGCGCCTTATAGTGCAGAAAATACGGTACATTCCAATTCTTTTGGCTAGTGGTCACTGATGGTGTAGCGATGCATTCGTCTGAGTTTGGTGCAGGCAGTGTGGGCTCAGTTCCCACTCAGTGACGGTGTGAATCTAAGCGTGAATGGTTGTCTGTCCGTATATGTGCCCTACGACTGATTGGCGATTAGTCCAGAGTGAAGTTTGCCATTTGCCTGAGGTCAGCTGAAAGGCTCCAGCACACCACGACCCAGAGAAGGATAAAAGGCGCTGAAGACAGATAGATGGATTTGTTTAGCAATCGTGTTTTTAAAATTTTTTTTTTTTTTTCCATTTAATGCATGCAAAGCGTCCTGTAAATATATACAGAACAGTGTTTTTGTCGCGCTAAAGCTGTTAATCAAGGTTTTTACTTAATCATCTGAGTTGCAATTCGCCCTGCTTCTTGGCTTCTCACTTTTCTGTTGAGGTTATAAGGCAGTTGAAACTATGAAAAGGCATTTATGCTGTTAAATGCAAGCCTGGAATTCCCTTTAAGTGGCTCATGTCACATGTTCTGTTGGCACTTGTTGGTACCGTTCTGATAAAGAAAGAAAAACCTTCAATTTTCACTGAATTCATCTGAAACTGACGACTAATTAAACTTGCCAAACTGTGTGTGGTCAAGCCACAAAGTTTCGAGGAGAGGGTCCTTTGGAAAGATGAAAGACAACTGGAGCTTTTTTGGCAAGTCACATCATCTTTCATTTTTCGTTTTCACCTTTTGTGAAACAGATAGGAATCTGCAGCATCCGGCACAAGGTGTCCCGTATCTGCAGCGTACAATGAATAAAAACTGTAAAGTCAATGTTTTATCGACATTACATTTGTCAATTTCAAGTGTTGTCAGTGGCCATTGTTGGCTTTTCTTTCTATCACTGAATGGTTCAGATTTTCAATTTTTTTTTTTGTTTTTGCAAAATGATCTGTTTGATTTTTCACTACTCAAATAGTAAGCCAGCCTGCTGACATTTCATGAATGAACTTAATACAATATATTTACATGAGCTCTGCCTGTTGACCTTCAAGTCAGCCTGTAAGATTATGTCCATCGTCTCCACCCAGTCAACAGCGAGATTGGCATTTTGAATAACATGCATTGATACTAGAAGTTATGGTACGTCCTGGGTCTTCTTAGGACAAAGAGGCTATAAAATACGGAGCACTTCTTGTCCATAACAGCAGGCATGTTGTGAGCTGACTGTATTTATGGCTGTTCTCACTGGTCGACAAAGTTGACCCGATAAGTAAGCTGATGGCCATTGTCCCAGGCATACAAAACCCTCTCTTTGGGATTATAATCGATTTGTGTGGTGAATGAATACTCATTGGTAAAGGCCAGACGTGGGATGGCCTCTGTGTTGGTGTGGGTGTCATAAGCATAGCGCACTTCTCCTTCCTTCTGGTTGTACACATTGACAGCATACAAGACACCACAGATGATGAAACAGTTGCCATAAGAGTTCCGCTTGAGACCTGTCCTCCAGGTGGTTTCCTTTTTTAAGGACAGGTCTCCAGGATCAAGTTTACTAATGACAATCACTTCCTGTTGGTTGTAGTCATAGTCTATTGAAGGATAGATCACCCACAGTCCACTTTCATCCACTGCAAAGTCAATATCAGAGTGACCTCTCCATTTCCATGGGGTGGTGTCCTCGTAAACCACATCATGCAACAATGTCCAGGCAGCCACGTATCGCATTTTCAGGTCATACTTGATGATGTTCTTGGTGAAGGCTCTATTGTAGTAGAAGGCTCCATTGTAAACCACGTGACCCGTGCCAATCCAATTGTAAGGAAGTTTGAAAAGGTTGCTCCAGCGGCCTACAGCAGGGAAAACGTTGCATTAGTTTCCGATTAAACCTTAAAATTTGATACAAAAACAATACAGATGATGTGCAACCTTCGAATAAACTGTGAATTACTGTGTATTTAACAAACCCAATTAAGGGGGTGTTTACCGAGAAATGGGGAGAAAAAAAAAAGATTTGTGTGTAAAAAAGCAGGTCACCTTTAACCTATGGTGGTGCGTGACCTTCATTACCGGAAATTGTTAGCGGTCAGCAGCCTGCAATTGCAGCTTGCGATCAGAGCTGTTGCGATGTATGTACTTTTTTTATGATTCTCATTCAGTTTGCTTCATCTACATTTCACCGATGGCACTGCTGAAGAATGGGAATCTGGTGCACCAGGAATAGCATTTCAAAATGGTACACGTGAGCTACAATAGTCATGTTCATGCATTTAGCATGCTGCAAAGGTGCATCTCATGCCTCCGTGTCAGATCTCCCACTCAAGTAGGTAGTGATTTCCTTTTCACAAACTCATAAACCCTTTTATCTACTTTATTTTTCTGTTTCAGTCATGTTAGGTGCCATCAGTCAAAATAACAGAGCATGTGGTATCTAATTCTCTCGACATATTAAGGTCATGCAAACAAATTGAGGCAATTATGGGAAGTTGGGAACTCCAAATTGCATGTCTGGTGTTCCCACTGCGTAGCATTTTGAGAGCTCCATATAAAGTCACTCTTCAGGAAGTTCAGGGCCTCTCTAGTGTGTTATAGTAATCAATATGTTCCACTCGTGTGTGTATGAGGATGTTATCTCCATGGTGCCAATGACAATGTTTGCACAATACCAGACTGTGTATAGAAACTGTATTATGTGACATGAACAACGTTTGCTTAGTAATTCAATACTGAACCAACAAATGGTGTACGTCTGGTGTCATTTTCGAATCACATCTGTCAGTCCTAACCTTTCAACCTCAGGAAGTGTGATTACGATTTGATAATATAGGAAGCCCATGATGAAGGACAAAAGCAGTGTGGTTGAAGACCACAACCACCCACATCACCAGAGTCAACCTACTGCTAATCCCTTCCTACTGGGCCTTGTTCAAAGGGAAGGCTCGGAGCCCATGTCAGAGGACAGCAGGCATCACCGCCACTCACCAAGATAGCTAGTCAACCGCACACAGCTCTGAGCTTACCTCACTGCAGGATGCTTTGAATGGAAGTGAGTTTCGAAAGCCCATTGTCCAAACACATCTACATCAACAAGCCAAATCCTATGAAGGCAGATCATCTTAACTTTTTAAAGAGTGTAATCCAATTCCTTGGTTGATGTGCATATAAAAGGAGTTGATTTTCCCACCCTCTGAACAATCAAGACCGAAATTCCTCAGACACAAGCAGTTTCACAGATTGCCTGCACAGAGTGAGCTTAATTCCATTAACCCCACATCCAATCGAGCTTTATTGTTATGGTTTTAACAGGGGAGTGAATGTGCCATGTCCTTCAAAACAACCACAATCTTGTGTCAAATGGAGAATAGTATGCCAGTTATTGCAGCCTTGGGAAGTGGTATGTACAGGGCATAGTGTTTTCCTCTTTACCATTTGCCTTAATATTAATGCAACCTGCTAAAATGATCAACAATAAATTAAAAGAACCAAACATTTTGTTCCCATTAAGCAGGGAAAATTTCACTCGCTTGGCGTGACCGTCCTGTAACAAGTTTGGTTTACAGGTGTGTATTTTCACGTCATGTAAAATTAGATTTCATCCTATGTAGCTTTTTAGCTTAAAGCTTGTTTGGATGATTGTTTCAATTGTTTCAGCTAGGTTTAGGGGAGTATGTGGAGGTAAAACGTTAGAATTGTGAATTAAGTTCCAGATCTTGATGGATGGAATATATAAATAATTAATAATACGAATTTTAAATCAACTCATTTGTCTTCTTATGGGCTCTCCATCCGTGCAGTGGTGGACAAGGAGATCGGGTGCAGTTTAAGATGAGTGGTTGTTGAATATGGGGAAGGTGCGGTGTGGCATGATTGTGGGATACAGAAACTGGCTCTTGGGATCGATCGATTGATCCATCCATCAAGCCATCCATTTCCTAAATCGTTAGTATTCATTTAGGTCCCTGGTGCAAACGGGGTAGTACGCCCTGGAATAGTCACCAGTCAATCAGAGGCTTCAATTTAGGCTTGCACCCAAATTTCTATTACATATATATTCGTTAATTGAACCTACCCTACTGTAGGTGTGAGTGTGAATGTGAAAGTGAATGATGCCCTGCGATTGACTGGCAGCCAATCTAGGGTGTACGTCACCTCTCGCCTAATTTCAGCTGCGAAAGACACCAGCTCACCTGTGACCCTAATGAGGACAAGTAGTATAGGAAATGGATGGATGGATAATCCTTAAGATTGTTTCTGAGGACATCATCTATATATCTTTTGTTTCAGTCATGACACTTGCATTTGTATCCTTCATGCATAGCCATGATGAAATTCCAAAACAAGCACACCTTGTTTGAAGTTCTCCAAGTTGCGAAACTCCACCAAATTGTTGCCATAGTAATAGTTGGTAACGTAGATCTTCGAGTCTTTGGCCAGTGGATCCTTCATCCAGGCTCCTTCATTACGACCATAACTGTGTTGCTTCTCTGGCTGCTCGATTGATGCTAGAGTCCCTTCACAGTGAAGGAGTTTCCCTGTAAAAGAAAAGGTTGAACATAAAGCATATACATTTGTGATTCCAGTTTGAATTTACACTTAACAATTGTTGTGTCATGGTTCTGTTTGTGGCCAACAGGTGGCACTGTAGGGCTCCGCCTGCAGCTGCACACCTGTTGGTCATTGTGTCATTAGTTGTCTGTTTTAAAAGGACTCCCTGCACGACCACTCGGTGTCCGGTCATTGTTTGTTCTGTCATGTTTCTGTTGGTAGTTTTTTGCTTCAGCCATGGTTTTTGTTTGTTACTTTGGATTCTTTTTGTTTTCATGACTTTCTTTGTTCTGGATTTAGTTTTCTTATCATTTTGTTAATACAGTTCGTCAAGTACAACCTGCTCCTTCCTCCTGCCTGCTTTTTGGGGTTCACCACCACCGCGCAACGTGACATGTTGTTTGGTTCCATATTTCGAGAACCAACCAAAACTTCCGCTTCAACAATGTTTTTCCAAATATTTGTTGCACTGTGAACCATTAACACACTCAACAATAATTGCGTGTTTATCTGTGTGTGTTTTGGTGAGGTGTGTTTGTTCCATTAAACCAAGAATAACAAAACACAATACATTTTGCAAGACGTTTAATGGTCGTAATGCAATCCTGTCGTCAAGTCAAATTTATTTATATTGCCTTTAAACACAAAAATCTCAAAAGGCTTCATATGCCCAAATTTAGGAAATATTAAGAACATTCTTTGATCGAAACCCTTAGCAGGGGAAGGAAAAAAAACACATCTGGGGAAAATGCAAAACCCTAAGAAGGGGCTGCAGATGAGGGAATCCCCCTTCCAGGATGATCAGACTGCAATGGGTGCAGAGTGGGTAGCATTTAACACCATGTGATGCTATACAATGTTAGTTAGAATAATGTAAGGGTTCATCCATTTTCTACCGCTTATCTGGGGTTGGGTCGTGGGGGCAACAGCTTTAGCAGCAAAGCCCAGACTTTCCTCTCTCCCGCTACTTGTTCCAGCTCTTCCCGGGGGGATACCGAGGTGTTCCCAGGCCAGCTTGGGGACAGTCTCTCCAGCGTGTCCTGGGTCATTCCCGGGGCCTCCTGCTGGTGAGACATCCCCGGAACACCTCATCAGGGAGACATCCAGGAGGCATCCTAATCTGATGCCCGAGCCACCTCATCTGGCTCCCCTCGACGTGCAAGAGAAGCGGCTCGACTCTGAGCCTATCCCGGATGACGAAGCTTCTCACCTTATCTCTAAGGGAGAGCCCGGAAAAAAAGCTAATTTCTGCTACTTGTATCCTGGATCTCGTTCTTTTGGTCACGACCCATAGCTCGTGACCTTAGGTGAGGGTTGGAACGTAGATCAACCAGAAAATTGAGAGCTTTGCCTTTTGGCTCAGCTCCTTCTTCACCACGACAGACCAATACAAAGTCTGCAAGAGTAAGTAAGAGTCAATTTAATGAAATGAGGTTCTGATATTTTAGGAGAACTCCTTCTCGAAACCTGGCCCGGTTGATCGATGAGGTAATCTCCGTGGAAGCGCCTCTGAGGAGGTGATCCGATCAGCCGGAGCAGAATCCGTCCATAGACATCCAGTGGGGTCATCATCACTTCACCTACCTTTCCAAGCCAGGGAGGAGGGGTTTAGGAGAAAGAGAAGAGGCAGTCAAAGAGGACAACATGTAGTTCAAATAAATGCAAGCATATACAAATAAATCTTGAGTTAAGTTTTCTGTATGCCTAAACTAGTCGTGTAGCACCACCTCAGTAGAAAACATGTCAGTATGCAATGCAGCAGTAGGTAGTAAATCGGTATGGAATGTGTAATGCTATAATTTATATAGAGTTTTGTGTGTTGTAAGAGTCCAGCATAGCGCTAGTTAGCCATAGCTTGACAGACTTCACATTCGTTCTTACAAGCTCACTAATCACTTCTACCCCAGCCTGCTATAATGTGGACTGTCAAGGAAGGCTCAATCAGCAATCTATGATTCTAGAAAGAGTGATTGTGCCTTCCAAGTTTGGGTGAAGGCCATCCTACTTGAGCAGGTCGGTCTCATCATTGCCTCTCGCGGGCAAGAGTCCAGAGAAAATTACTCAATGCCGACTCATCTTTCTGATGAGATTATTAATCCTGGCGATATTCTCCTTTGTCATCTCCGATTGCCTCATTCTAGTATCAATGGAGCTGACATGTACCACAATGTCTGATGAGCGAGTGTTAGCTTTTTGCTGGTGTATTGACCTGTTGCGTGCCAGCTCACTGAGACGAGCTTCAAAGTCAGGTGCTCTGGCCCCAGAAATGCACAATCCTGTTGCTGGATTTTTAATTATCAAGCTGCTAATGCTAATCAGGCTAGTGGGTTTGCTACAACTGTTGTGTCAGCCACATCTACCACATTAGTCTGCTCTAGCTGACAGGCACGTCCCTCTATCACAGAAAGCCTCTTAATGAGAAGGATGCAATTTGTGCAAGTGTAGCAAAAATACATACTTACAATTAATTGCCTGGTGAACAATGGCAGTTTGAGCAAATGAGCAGCCAAAGACCCCTGGTGGTGTCTGAGCAGTGTGGCCGAAACCGGTAAAAATCGACGATTCACTGCTTACAAAAATTAAAATCAGTCTTCAAAAGTAAAAATGTAGGACACAGTTGAGGGGAAATCGAAAAAAGAATAGAGTTTGTTCATCTCGCCTGTATTTGTCTGGCGGAACTAGCGCAAATTGGATGTGGAGTAGTTTGCTTAGTCTTGGGGCCTTAGTGACAAAACACTGTAAAAAAGATGGGGAAACCACCAGTGACATGCATCGTGGATGTTACATCTGGATTCTCTTGCGTGTACTGTAAAAGGTAAACCAGTGATTGGCTAAGAGTAACATGACAAACACATAAATATCAGTTTGTCATGGAGAGACATTACTTTGCAGACGTTGAAGTCATAAGTATGTCTCCTTCCAAAAAAACGAAACTATATGCCATCGGTGAAAGTGCTGCTGCAGTCATACTTACTTTTCTACTTTCTTTCTTTATTTTATTTTATTATTGAGCTAAAACTGCACAGCATCAAAATGAGAGACGTTTCTGGTAACTATAGGTAAGCTATTTGAGTGGGTTTACATGAATTAGAGGTCAATCAATTTTAGTCAGACAAAGTATATTCGAAATGTAACCTGCTCTGTGGAGAGAAGGTCGACTGTTGTTGTTGCTGTTGTCAAGCAGTAGTACAATAGTGGGGGCTGGTCTCTCGGTGGCTGCTGTGCTTTGGCTGGTGATGATCGTCGTGGTTGGTGCAATGGTAGTGGTTGGTGGGATAAAAGCAGTCTTGGTGGTGGTCGTCGTGATACCGGTAGCAAATGCGGTAGGTGTGGTAGTCTCTGCAACTGTAGAATCCATGGTTTCAAGTACCATTTCAGCTCCGCCGTCCTCAGACTGGGTTTCGGTAATATGATGGCGTGTGTATGTTTTGGCTGGGTTGTCTGACAAGAAGCAGAAACATTGGGTAGTTAGCCTTGATGACGTAACTGCATATGAGCAAGTAAAAATGACAGTGACAAAGCCGGTGGATGAGTTCTACCGGGAATTCCTCAAGGCTCTGGATGTTGTGGCATTGTCCTGGTTGACACGTCTCTATCACACGGACATATGGGACAGTGCCTGTAGATTGACAGACTGTGATGGTGGTCAGTCTTTTTAAAAAGGGAGACCGGAGGGTGTGTTCCAACTACAGAGAAATTAAACTCCTCAGCCTCCCTGGAAAAGTCTATTCAAGGATATTGGAGGGAAGGGTCCGTCGCGAGCTTGAAAAACAGATTCTGCGGGAGCAATGTGGTTTTAATCCTGACCGTGAAACAAAAGACCAGCTCTAAACCTTCCGCAGGGCCCTTGAGTGTGCATGGGAGTATGGGGTCCCAAACACCCTGATAAGGGCAGTTTAGTCTCTGTACCAACGATCCCATAGTTTGGTCTACATTACCGCCAATAAATCGGATCAATTTCCAATGAGGGTTGGACTCCACCAAGGCAGCCCTTTGTCACCGATTTTGTTCATAACTTTCATGGACAGAATTTCTAAGTGCACCCGAGGCATTGAGGGGGTCCGGTTTGGTGGCCTCAGTATTGTATCACTGCTGTTTGCAGATAGTGTGATGATGTTGGCTACATCAAGCCGTAACCTCCAACTCTTACTGGAGTGGTTCATCTGATTTTTAAGTGGGTGGGATGAAAATCAGCACTTCCAAATCCAATCTAAAAATCAAGATCCTCAGTCGGAAAAAGGTAGAATGGATGAATTTTTGGAACAGAAAGTTGGTGCTTAGAATTGAAGCGGATCGATACGGGACAGGAGAATTGAACCAATCTCTGTATTCGTCAATGGACTCTACTTGTTTACTTTCAAACTTAGCTGGTAGCAGACGTGTGTGACGTAATGCACGCTGTGATCATGACTTTTCTGATCTACTGGTGAAAGGAGACTGATTCTCTCCTCGTTCATCTATATCTGCTTCAAGCAACACGGTGCATGTTTGTTTCAGTATTTAAATGAGTCATCAACTTGTCTTGACTATTCCATCATCACTGAAGGAATGGATGAAATAGTTGTGTAATCCTGATGGGAATACTCAATGTAAATGAGTACAGCATATAATATATTGTTGTTTCTATATCCCATTCATCTCCTTTACAGAGAGCTAGAGAGGGAGGGAGAGATTGGGAACAGCCCCTGGAATAACTGTCCCCAGCTGGATTTTGACCGACGCCGATCCCATTCGTGGGCGGCTATAATTTGTGGTGCTGATATATATATAGTACCAAGAATTACAGCCTCCATTGCCACTAAAATAAATAAACACCTCTCTTAAACCCATTCAACCCAAAGTGAACATTATGATCCACATGAAGGGTGTATTTATTGCCAGAATGTTGTCTATAGTTACATCATACTGATTTAATCCATGTCTTTCTTGCGCAAATGTTTTATCATATATCTTTATTGTTTATGTTTAATGTTTAACTTTTAGGTTAAATTTGCCGTTATGTTTTGGACATTTCATGAAATTTTGATGAAGCGAAGGCTATTTTTACAGTGACAATGGCATATACAGGATCTACAAACCTCCTCCAACACCGCCCCTGAGCAAATGTTGTAGCCCAGCTGCTGTGATGGAAGTGTCATATTCAACGGACAACTTAGGAAACACTTGGCAGCTCTCAGTGAAAATCTGAGTAAGTGTTTGAAATGGCCGGAGCGGCATCAAGGCTCTTTAGCTTCCAAGGATAAATAAAGCAAACACTACTTTTTAAAAGAGCGTCCTGCTCCTTGGTAGAGATTATGGATATGCAGCTAAAGTTTTCACTGATTTGACAGGGAAGGCTGAGCACTTTGAGCCTCACATACACTTTGTACATGCAGGAACACCCGGTCTGACAGTGTCATGTGCGTGTGCCCTGTGCAAACGCAGCATACCTATTCACTCAACTAGACTTAAAGAGGATTGGAAGGAGTCAGGAAATGTTTTCTCTGCAATGGTGAGGGTCCCCGTGCGTTGTTGTGAAGAGTGAAGCTCAGGCATGCCATGGCCATGGCAGCGGTCCATTGACACAGCATTCCATTTGCTCCATGTATTTTGTCAATAAAAGATTTGGGTTTCTTGCACTCTGAATGCACAGCGGCAATCCAAACCTGCAGTCTGGACCAGTTAGATTAAAAGAAAAAAAAAAAACCTCTTGTGCAAAACATGGATGGATTAATTGCCTTACAATTACCGTAAAGTCATAATCTCAACAACCTCAGAAAATGTTTATGCAGGTACTTTGATTGACGTACCATCAAATGACACTAATAAAGAGCTTAATTGCAAAACTGCTGTTTGATCCTAATCCAGCAAAGCTCAAGTGGGGTGAAATGAAATTGCTGAAAAAAAAAAATTGGATCATTTTCAACACACACATTGGATCACGCTCTGATGATGATCAAACAAGGGTAGGTAGAAAGGTAAAAGTAAACTATCAGAACAATGTTTGCTTTAGGTCTAAGGAGTATGTTTTCAATGAACTGCACAATGCTGGGCCAACATACAAAGCGACACTTCAAAGTTGAAAACTCTCACCTCCTCTGACCTCATCCTCGTCACTCTTGGCAGCCTTGTAGTAGGTAATGCCTCTGACCACACCTGGCTGGTGGCCAACCACCTTGGTTTTGGCTGTAGGATCGGGCTTCAGTGGTTTCACAGGTTTAGTGACCTCCTTTTTGGGCTTGATTACTTTTTCTTTGGGTTTGGGAGGGGGCTTGGATGATGGAGGCTTTTTGTTGAGTGGCTTTATGACGCTCTTGGGCTTGGTCTCATCGTTATTGTGCTGGAAACATCAATATTTTGGAAATATTAGCATGCTGTAATGACGAACTGCTACAGTGGCTTGAAAAACTATGCATATGATTTGAACTTTTTCACATTTTCTGACCTTGCAATCATAAACTTGAGTGCACTTTACTGAGATTTTTTTTCTGATCGTTTAATACAAAGTACCATGCAATGGTGAAGTGGAATGAAAAATAAACAAACATCCATTATTTTAAGTGAATATATATCGAAAAGTGTGGTGTCCATTTCTATTTAGCCCTCCTAGTATGCTAATACCCCTAAATCCAATTCAGTGCCACATATTGCCTTCAGAGGTCACCTCATTAGTATGTAGTCCACTTGTACGTGGCAGAATCTGACCGCGCGGGACAACTACATGTAAATCTTGTGCCCAGAAAGTCTGGCCTTTATGGAAATGTGAGAAGAATAAAGACATTGTTGAATGAAAGGCATATGAAGTCCTGTGTTCTCTGTAAGGGATTCCGCAAATGTGGAATCTTTATGCAGTATGAGGATGTCTGGATTTCCTCTTGGGCCAACAGATTTGCTGTTCGACAGGGTTGTATGGAATACACCTCCTGATGTAGTTTATTTGAAAACTCGGTTCTTAAAGATGATCACAGGTTCACTTGAATCAAATGAGCTCTTCTTTCAGCACATTTACTCAAACTATAGGTACAAGCACAATTGGTTTTCTAGCTGCCAGCATGGTTTGGAAAAGGTGGACTCTGAAACAATATGGTCGCTCATGCTCGAAAATATAGAAAACCTTTAGCCAGCTTTTCAGTAACTTTTCAGTTTCTGCAATCATTGGCCAGCGTAGATAGAGCACCATCACTGACCAACTAACTAACCAATCCAACTCTAGTGAGGCAGAACACTCAAGTTTGTGGACTGTAAATCATTTAGCAATCTGCAGCTGTGGTCCAAGAGCTACAACATGACCACTTGGACAAGCTACATTGTCATGGAAGAGCCCATTTTGAGAGCTGGTTATATGGTCATGAGAGAGGTTGTTGATCTGTGGGGCGAACTTCTGAGTTGGACTGCACAGGGGTCCGACAGTGCACAGTGAGAATCGTGCCTACTTGAAACCACTACTCGTGGAAATATGCAGCTAGTGTAGAACATGAAACATGATATGCAGGATAAATGACCTAAGGTTACTCTAGAGTTTGTTTTCATGTCTGAAAATGATGGTGAAGCGAGAGTGCGCGCCAATAGACATTTTAGGCACTTCAAGTAGAATCAGTCTTTGTTTTCTTTTTCTAACCTTCTGTAAAGCACTTTGTCACAGCTGCAGCTGTTGTGAAAGCGCTATATAAATAAAGATGTATTGTATCGTAACCCGCACCTTGGTCTCAGAAGAGTCTTTCTGAAGCAGCTGCAGACTGAGACTGGAGATCTCTTTCTTGATGCTCATCATAATGTTGGAGTAGTTGTCATATCTCTTAAACTGGTTGGTCAGGCTGGTCATGCTGTCACGGACAAATTCATTCTCTCGTGTTAGGTTTGTCTTGATTGTCTGCAAAAGGTAACAATGTCATTACAATAGCAGTGATAAATTCCTTCAAATAGTGTGGCTGTAAATCTCTTCACGGTGATCCAGCTTTTGAAAAGCATGATGTGAAGATGTTGTCTACCTCTTCCAGGGTGTTCATCTGAGACACCACTTTGTTGATGTATGAGTGGACTTTCATCAGATCCATGCTGTAAAGTGTTCCCTCGAGCAGATCCACCATAGACTGGAGCTGGGGGTTGATCCCAGAAAAGCAGGAGAACAATTATTCATTCTTTCCTTACATCTTCATGTAATCTGTTCATCTGAGTCTGACGCATACATGATTTTACTATATGCTGTATGAAAACACATTTGCATGACATTGGCTCTGATTACAACAGGCAGATGGGTTCATTTCACAGCTCATTTAGTTTTATCGAGATGATCTTTGAGTTAGTTTAGGTCAGAAGGATCACAAGGCCCAGATTTCACTGTCTGAGCTCCTAGTGAAATTCAAAATTGTCATGATCATGGTCTGTAAGTGTCCGGCAGGTCCAGAGGCGTTAGCGGTTTTCCTGTTGCGCATCTGTCTGGCATCACAATTATTGGGACTATTTAAAGACCTCATGGACCCATGTCAAGCTGTCGGATAATTTCTTGCTCAAGTCATTGTTCATGTGCATTTAATCTAGACCAGGGGTGCCCAAACTTTTGTTTTGGACCGAAGATCGACTTTTCGATCAACCAACCTCCCGCGATCGACCCGTTACCACGCATGCACATGCACACGCACGCTATGATGAGCAACAGCCTGACACGGAGGCATGCGACGCACTTTTGCAGTCTGTTAACTATCCTAGCTCACACGTACTTCCCTCAGCTCTCTAGATTCCTATTCTTTGCCTGTGCCCTCGGTGAATTGTACACGAAACAAACTCTGAATGAGAATTAATGATAACAGTAAAAGATAGCGCAACAGCTCTGATCACAAGCTGCAATTGCAGACTGCTGAGGGCTAACAACTTCCAGTGACGCAGGTCACGCGCCACCGTAGGTTAAAGATTTACCTGCTTGATTTTATTTTATTTTTGAAATACTTTTTGTGAAAATGAGACTGATAGAATGATTAGGGTGCAACACCCCTCGCAATCGACTTGGGACCAGTCCGTGATCGACGTAATGGGCACCCCTGGTCTAGATGCTCTCTGATCACTCTTGTTCTGTTTTTGGCTCTTGCCTTTGCTTATGCTCCTCGTTTTTCAAGTAAGTAGTTCTTGGTGTGTTTAAGTGTTTCCACGGTTTGTTCTCCAAGCGGTCTTTGTCTTGGTCTTTCTTGTACTTTTGTTACAAGCTTTTTTCGTCCGTGTTTTTTCCTTGCCTAGTGCAAGCGCTTTTTGTTTTATTTGCATTACTCCTGTCTTGTTGTTCAGCGTCATTATTTGTACATTGTCGGCCTTGTGCCTATTTTTTTTGTAAATAAATATTTTTTGTTAGATCAACTTTCCTGAGTCTACCTTTCTCTCCTGTGGTTGAGTGGAAAGAAATTTCATCTGTGCTGTATGTTGCACACAGAGCACATTTGAGAATAAAGTTGACTTGACTTGACTTTTAGGGTCCAATTGTGTTCGGAACATTCCGGACGCCCAACAAAAGTTAAGCGAACTTTTGCCCTTCTACACCACTTGGTCTTGGGTGTAGGACTAGATAAGTTGTATACTTCTTCCTACTCCTTTGAGCATATAACTGTGGTGATGTTTGTTTTACTTACTTTTTTTATTTTTCCTTTTGTAACTTTGGCTTGCCTTTTGTCAATCCGTCAGTGTATTGTATGTTCAATAAACAATTAACCAATAAAACCAACTTGGAGCAGTTGGAATCTATGTAGAAATTTGGTATATTTTCTGGTATTTGCAAAAGGAAATAATCCTTGGTCAACCCCACTGTTGGTAAATTGAAAGAGTGCAACCTTAGGTACAGTGTGATTTTTGGAATGCTTGTGTCATGAGCATCTCAACGCTTATGTTTCGGAGTTTGAGCTCCATCTTCTTGTGTCATTTTAAAAACTCAGGACTTTTAGCTTCATTGACTGACCTTTAATAACTCAGGAGCCTGTTTCTTCAGCTTCTCCATCTTCCACTCATTCTCGCAGGGGTTGAGGGAGGATGGCGGAGCGGTGCAAGAACATTTGCAGTCAGATCCCGAGCTGACTGTTTCCACGGTATAGAAATCCTCCACACGAACACTGCCACTGCGCAGCCGTGTGCAGGCATCCCTGCTCAGAGGTCGCATGATGCACTTACAGCGGCAGTCGGAGCCCTCTGATACCATACGAACAGGCTCTGTCTCGCCAAATATCTGAAAGTGGAATTCATCATGAAGTTACTAAAACTAATATTAAATTATGAATACATTTGTTTGCGATGAACATAATTTAGATGAACATGAAAAGCTTAATTTTCTCAAGAAATAGAATCATCGACCTTATGGCATATTTTTCCTTCATTTTTTTTTTTACGCAAGGCAACATGTACCACGTGATACATTTTGTAACCAATACGCAGGTACTGTATGCTATTCCCTCAGCAAGCAGTGAGTTATCTCACTCAGCTATTGTATCCCTGCTGAACAATCATAAACAATTCTCTCTATTTTATTAATGGAGAACAAAAGCAAGGGAAGGAAACTGATCCAAGGGGAAAAAAAAGCATCCTTCCTCTCTTTTGTATGTTCACTGTTGTGACTCAGAGGAAAGCCTCAAACAAAAAGACTGTAACACCACAATGACTTATTATTCCATTGCGCTCCAGCCAGACCCCCCCCCCCCCCTCCCAATTTTTAAAATATTGGGGATTATAGACGGACTATATATGATGAGTAACCTCGTCTTATTAACAATAACAGCACAGAACGACCCTGGAGTGAATGAGATTGTCCTTGATGCAATGTCTTATTTTGCTGGTCCCATCAATGGCGCCATTAATCGATCAGCAAATTATGACAACTCATCGCCAGTTTTGCATAAAACGCAAAATATCTGTCTTTCCAATCCAGCTGATCGGATCTGTGTAAAGTCTTGTTAACCGAACAGATGATTGGCATAAAAATGTATGTCGTGGGTGGCATGGTGGGCAACTGGTTAGCACGTCGGCCTCGCCATGCAGAGGTGCCGGGTTCGATTCTGGGTCCGGCCTTCCTGTGTGGAGTTTTCATGTTCTTGCCTTCACAGGTTTTCTCGTACATGGTAGGTGTGATTCAATGTCCCTCTGTGTAATTGTGAACGTGAATGGTTTTTCGTCTATTTGTGCCCTGCAATTGGCTGGCAACCAGTTCAAGGTGTCCCCCGCCTACTGCCTGAAGACAGCTGGGATAGGCCTGAGCACGTCTGTGACTCTGGTGAGGATAAAGCGGTTAAGATGATAGATGGATGGATGGAGTATGTTGTCGGAAAATGGCAGTCAAAAACCACACAGATCCAGCAACATTGGACATGCTGATTAACAGTGCAGCTAGAAAAACACAAACGCGAATCACAAAGATGTCTATTTGCATGCCCAAAAATGCTATGCTTGCCTCATTTTGACATTATGGGATTCATGTGCGGACCAATACTTTTTTGGCATATAGTATACATAGCAAATATTTGCCCTTTTTTGGGGTAATTAATTTTGTTTTATGTATTTTTGTGAAATCTTTCTGTGATTGGCTGCCGAACAGTTCAGGGTGTCCCCCACCTACTGCCTGAAGACAGCTGGCAGCACACCCGCGACCTTTATGAGGATAAGCGGTTCAGATAATGCATTGATGGAAATGAAAAAGGAAGAAATGGTTGATTTATCATTCCCTTTGAGGTATGGTATGTTTTTGGGGTCTTTTTTGAGGGATCTGGAATATGTGTGTGTGTGTGTATATATATATATATATATTTTTTTTTTTCCTTCCAAGGGTGCTCACAGTTGGTGTTGCCATTGTTACCTTAAAAAGGTAACTTAGTTACTTTACTGCTCACTCACTTGAAGAGTAATTTAGTTACTTTACTGATTACTTGATTTTCAAAGCAACTAATTCAGATGACAAGTTACTTTCATTCAGCAGATACCAACAAACTTGCGAAACAAAAAATTAAACCTTAAACGCAACTCTCCCTAAGTCCTTCCTCCATTGTTGTTTCTGGACATGTGATTTGTCAATGCACTGAAAATGACAATGTCATTCCTTCAGACGGTAATGCGAATTTGAATACTCCCACAATGCCTTTCACCATGTTCAAGCTGTGACGACCAGAGTTTTTCTTGTGTTCTGTCATGTATAGTTATGTTTAATGACTAGTGAGAACTACATTGTTGGGAATCAGATGTCCTTCTGAATTTTTGTTTTCATTATATAATTTTGCACTAAAAAATGTGTGCAAAGGAGGCACATGGGTAAGAAGAGTATGCTGTTTATTTAATTCAGTTATTTCTCACTGCGCCCTTTAATGGGCAGTTAAGTGCTGTGTTCTGTGGTAGTAAAAGGTGCCACTCTCTCAAATGCTGAATGTACATTAAATGCAAATGAGTAACCTGAAAATGATCCTAATCTGGCGCGATGTGATGAATTTCTTCTTTCCTAAGATCAAGGGAGGCATAAAGGGGAACCATTGTAAAGACTTGGACGGTATCGAGATGGCCATGGCGACAGACCTGCGCAAGATCCCAAAAGAATCCTTCCAGGAGTGCATAAACGTATGACAGAAAAGGATGTGAAAGCGAGTTTGATTTCAGGCCGTACTTGGAAGGGGAAAGTTGTAGCTTGTAATTTGGATTTAACGGCTATCTTTTGTGACGCCAGTGCTGGAATTTTTGTGAGCGATTGCAATTGAGTCCCTTACTCAAGTCAGGCGTCGAAGCATTGGATGGCCTTTGCTATTTGGATTAACTGAACGAGCAAATCAAGTTAATTGGAGGATGCACAAGATGAAGGCGTTGAAGGCTTATCATATTTTGAATAAAGCAATAGAACACATCCAAATGTAGCGGATGGACCTTTTCTGCTTTTGCTTTACCCTTCGTCCCTGCATTTACAATGGAATGACGGGTTTAGGAGAGAAAGTGGTGGAGGGGGCCTGTGAGTGGTGGGTTTGGGGGCTCATTAGTGAAGGAATGCAGGCTGAGTGATGGGGGAAGGTGTGGGGCTGGGGTGACTCGCCTTCCATCCATTACTGCACGAATACTGAGGAGGAGGGGCATGTCTGAAGCAGAGCAGGACTCCTGTGTGCATAACCAGACCCAACCTGACCCATGTCAAGTGAAAACACAGCAGGTTGACAAATGCTACAACCACATGAAAACAGAGTTGATTAGCAGATTAAACTTCTTGAGCGATGGAAGAGCACTGTTGCAGTTCCACTAAACTCTCGGTGGCTTAACCTTGCCCATTTTCCTTGACTATTCTTTGTCCTGTAATCATAAAACTTTCTTTTGAATTAATCACACAGCAGACATAGCGTGCCCCTCAATGGTGGACATGGAACTTGCATCCATTCTCAGCTACTTTTAACATCCTCCAGTGTTACTTCCCACCCAGTGTTAACTAACACCGATAAAATCTGTGTTCAAAATCTTCAGCCTTATCAGGGTCTCCGACCTTTCTTCCATTCCAAACAGACAAGTATTTCTGCCCTCATCCACTCAACCTTTCTGACTGAACTCAAGGATCAGTGTATCCGAGAGACTTTTGTATCTTTTTCTGAGCTCTCAAAGAAATGTATTCATACTCTTCAATCAGAAACATCCTCTGCTTTCTTCTCACAGCAGGTGGTGGGTCAAGGAGGCATTCCTCTCCATTAAACCTGAAAAGCTCCGATTTTGTTGAATGCATGCTATGAGTCTTGAACATAGGCCTCTCGTGCGATCAAGTACAAGGTCAAAAGAACAGGGCTCAACCAGGAACTCGCGTCTGCACAATGGGAGGGGGGAAAAAAAAGAGCGCAAGCCACAGAGAACTCCATTAGATCACTTATGGCAAACAATTTCTGACAGTGATGAAGTGAACCTCCAATTGTACTCAGGGTTGCAAAAACACAAGATGTGCTATACAATGGACGGTGCCGTCGGCTTTAGAATTTCACTTGTGTGGCCCTTTGTATGTATAACCGCGCTCATATAAACAAGTATGTCCCGCTTTTAATGCTTTGCCAGCAAGTAATTAGCTGCATGCTTGGGATGTCAAAAAGGCGAGCGGGCAGTGGTGTTGTCCTGTGAAAAACTTCAAATGCGTGGCTGTATGTGCTTATGACCACTTTTCCGACAGATGTCACCATAAAATAAAATTCTACTCAGTGAATGGCGTCATCAGGTGAACTTTGAAGTCAGAACTTTAGAAACAGTCCAGCCAAAATACTCTTTCTGACATGAACAGTCCTCATTGTGTCGCTGTGATGATTGACCCTAAAAAGTAATTTCATAAAGAATTCTTGTGGAAGCTTTTGTACTTTGATGAACCGTAAGACATGGAGTTAAAACTCAAGTCATCAGCGCTGGGATGTTAATTAACTCAGCTCAAAGAATATCAAGCCCTCACTGCTTTTGGAAGTACAGTTCTACATTCCTGTCTCTTTTATGTGTCCAGATACTCTGAAGTCTTTACTCACCACAGTACATTGTCATGTCAAACAATAAAGACACAAGGGACAGCATAAAAATGACTTTCTTCAACGTTAGCTAATCAGGTGACCTCAGCTATGAATGGAATGATAGCCAGTATTTCCCTGATGTTTGAAATAAGTAATTACCCCTTGTGTGTTAAGTTGATGCTAGTCACAACAGAAACATAGGATTTAAGTGTTTTCACATTTGTATACCAACAGTTTGTTTGAATATGTTATGCCTGCCACCGTAACACTGTACAATACTAAAATTTCAAGAGTGGATTTTTTTCCCAACACATTGCTACAGGTCCTGTGGGTTTGTTCATTACTCATGGGTCTCTTCTGAAACTAAAATACAGTGAAACGAGAGGTGTAACAAAAAACCCCATTAGAATCGTAAAATTGGTTTTGATTTAGCAGACGCGAGTGCATTGAATCGAACTGAATCGTTCCTCTTCAGTGATAATTTTACAGTTTAACCCCAGCGAATCCCAGGGACTCGCTGATCAGAAAACTATGAGTCCCATTATGCATTTAGAGAGTCCCAAATTTCGAATTCTGAAATGGTCTACTTATTCAATTGCATATGATAATAACACAAACAACAACCATATACATTGATAATAGGTTTATTTCTTATGAACAAATGCTGCAAAAATTTAAATAATTCAGGCCTACAAGATTTGCTGAGAAATAGGTTCTTATTTCATCCCATGGTTCAGTCTTTGAG